AGCAAAAATGACATAATTACCAATTTCATAACCAAGACTTAATTGAAATAAAAACATAATCTCACAAATCCAAATATGAAACTTACATCAAACCTCGGACTAGAATAAATAAAATTAGCTACATGTGCTCAAAGTAATTGAAAACGATAAAATAATGATGATCCTCCAGTGGCTCTTCCGCTCAAGTCGCCTCTCCCAATCCTCCAACTTAAAATATGAAGTGTGAGTGTAAGTTGTGATGATCAATTGAATGTCTTGATCCCTCTTTTCATAGATGAGCAAGTATTCAATAAGTACATTAATGCTCCATTGATCAAGCCTCAATCATCGTAATTTTTCACTTTCCATCCCTTTGATTCAGTGCTGTTCCGATAGTATCATAATATTTAATGCCCATTTCAACATGCAACCACCTAAGACCCTACTCGAACAAAGCTTAAGAATTTCCTTTGTTTCCTTACAGAAGAGATCTAAACAGACCAGTTCCTGACATATTGAAGGCCTTGGGCAAAATTTAAAAAGGAGGCCCCTACAAAATAATTTTTATTAAAAAATAAAAAAATATCAATATTTCAGTTTTACAAAATATGCTTAATGCTAAACAAATTAAACATTAAACAATATAACTCAAAAGGGTTTAAGTCAACTATTAATATTTTGGATTATTCCACCAACTTCATACATGTTGCCGCCGCCATGTTATCATATTTTGTTTGCTATTTTGTGGGAGCTAAATAAAAATACATAAATATTAAATAAAATTACTACTCATAGCATTTTTTGTTGCAAAATCATTAATAATATTATCAACATCAATGGTTTCTAGCATTTTTTTTTTCAATAGATAACATAGCTAAATTATTCAATCTTTCTTGTGACATAGATGATCTCAAATAAGTTTCAGTAACTTTAATTTAGAAAAACTTCTTTCAGCAGATGCTACTGTTATATGAGCTGTTAATAAAATTCGATAATCAATTGAAATATTTGGATAACAATCAGTAGCCCTAACATATTAAAGAATTTCAATAGGCGAATTTAAGTTATCCGGTAAGTAACTTGTAAAACTTTTAATTAAGTAATAAAATCTTTTAAATCAACATCACATAAATCATTATGAGATAAACTATTTGAACACTTCATTTTCTAAGTTCATCATCATTCAAATATTTAATTTTAGAATTAAATAAAAATCCAAAAATACTATTATATTTACTTAATTGTTCGAATCTCTCATTTAAGGATGTAATAGCCATATCAACAATAACCAGAAAATAATTAATCTTAAATTGTTCTTCATCAGATTGTATTCTATTTTCATTTTCATTTTCATCAAATTGTTCTTTTCTATAAATATGTCATTTTGTTGAAAAATTTACATTCAACATCCATATTAAAAGCAAATTCTTTAGCTTTTTCTAAACTGTAGTCAAATTCAACATTTCTATAATATTTAAAATATTTCATAACATCTTCTATTTGTTTGACAACAGTATCAACACAAACTGATTTAGATTGCAATGTTTTATTTACAATATTAATTACAAATAAAATATCATACCAAATTACCATACCAAGTAAAAATTCATAGGACTCGAGAGCATTTAATAAATTTTCAGCTTCGTTTTTTGACTTGGCATCACTACAAGAATTATATAAATCCACTAAAGCTAATCGAATTTAAGGAGTTTGAAATCTAATAGTTTTAACACTTTTAATTCTACTTCCCCATCGAGTATTTAATAAGGATTTTACCGTTAAACCAAATATATTGTTAAGCAAAAATTTCATCTTTTTGTAGAACTTGAAAATAGTATATATATGCGTTGTATAACTCCAAAACATGATATAGCTTTCACACAAGAGTTTGCCATATCACAAAAGTAAGATTTAGACTATGACATACACATGGCATATAAAAAGCCCTATGATTGATATCAGGTAATCTTTTTTAACACCTTAATGCTTACATTTCATAGTCCATTATCATAACTTTGGCCTCTAATATTAGCAATATCAAGATGAAGAGATTTAACGTATTTACTAATTCATTAAAAAAGCTCTAATCCACTTGTATCATCCACTTTTAAGAACTTTAATTTTTTTTTTTCAATTTTTATCATACTATTTGACATATTTACACAACGTATAATCAAAGTCATTTGCTCCTGATGACTCACATCTGTGGTACAATCAAGAATAATAGAAAAATATTTTGATTCTTTAATAGTTTTTATAATTGAATTTTTAATACCAATAGCCAATAATAAAATTAACTCATTTTGAATTTTAGGACCGAGATAATGATAATGAATGTCTTGATCTTGAATTCGTCTAATGTGATTTTGCATTACTAAATCAAATTCCGCAATCATTTCAATCAATCCTAAAAAATTGCCATTGCTATTTTGATAAAGTTTTGCATTTGATCCTTGAAAAGCTAAATTATTTTTAGCAAGATATTTGACAACAAAAATAATTCTTATCAAAACTTGTATCCAACATTCTTTTTCTTTTCCAATTTCTTGTTGCAAATCTTTATCAATTGTTTGATTATTTGCTAATCTTATTTTCACTTCATTCCAAGTATTCATATTAGTAATATGTTCAAAACTATTCTCATGTGTTCTAAGTCTATCCCCAAGATGTTTCCAGTCATTTAATCCATCACGTGCTAAATAACTTTTATTATTAGTGGATTTAAATAACTTACAACAAAAACAATATACTTTATCTTCATATTTAGAATAAACTAACCATTTTCGGTCTAAAATCTCACCATTTTTGAATTTTCTAGTGTAATGAATATTTGAAAAATGTCAAGAAGTACTATCCAAGGGAAAAGTAAGAGTTAAGTCTCTTCTCGGTCTATTTTTTATTAAAATATCTTTTATTTTAATTATCAAGATTATTCTCATACCTCGGGTCATAAATAAATAAACGTTCATCTAAAATATCATCATCAACTATATTTACATCATTATCATGCTCATCAAAATTATTATCATTAAATTTGTCAATATTATTTTAATTTTCAATATTTGATTCATCATTGGATTTTGACTGATCAATATCATCTACATTCAAATAATCACTGAAAGAACCTATATTTTTAGAAAAAAATATATCAAGAGATCCTTTTTGCGATTCTACAAATTGCTCAATCCGTATTTTTTTTTTTTTTTTTCTCTTTTCACTATCAAAAGGATATTTTCTTGGCAACATTGTTATAGAAATAAATCAAACAATAACAAAATATATTTAACGAATTGAAACAAAAGCACCTGAATTTTATTCACAATTGTTTCCTTATCCTTGTTCAGTTGTTTGTATTATCTGTAAAGAAAGTAAAAGAAAAATATACGTTAACCTATAACACCAAAAAAAAAATCAATTTAAAAAATTAATTGCAAATGTTTTATAGATAAAAATTGCATGTATTATCTGTATTACTGTAATCTTATATATATATATATACATAATCAAATAATTAAATTAACTTATAACAGTAAAAAAAACACTATAAAACTGAACAAATCAATTCAATTAAAATATTGTAAGAAGCAGCAAATAAATTCAATTAAAAAAATCAATTGAAACCTAACTACCTGTAAAAAAATGGCCAATGGGGCTGCAAAGAAAATGGATATTGGTGGGAGTAGAATAGAAAAATTGCAAAAAGAAAGAAAATTGCCCGTATAAGTATACTTATATAAAAGTTAATACCTAACGGTAAATTGCAAGATACATCATTGGTGGGAGTGGAATGGTCGCATACTCGCATCGAGAGACTAGCCATTGAAGTAACTGCCGACAATGCGTAGTATGCTATTATTACCCTTATTTATATATATATATATATATAGTTTAAAAATTTGGAGCCACAACCTGGACTGGGCTTGGACCTGAATTACTTAACAATGACTACTATCAAAGCAGTTGCGGTTCTTATCATTTTCCTCGCAGCATTCCTTCTGATTGCCTTGCAGCTAGGGATTTGGCTGAGAACACTGATGCCAGTCAACAAGGTAAGTATTTACTAAGGGCACTCGCCCCACGTCAACATTTTCTTTATAATTAGCACCCATGGCCTTTTTTTATCATTTAATAAATAATAAAAATAATATTTATACTATATAATAAACTATAAAAATTATATTTTAAAAAATGTTTTACTTAAAATATTTAAATTTTTTTAATTAATTTTTTATATAATATTTTTAATTTATAAAATTTAAAATTTTAATTATTATATAAGTGTGATACATAAAAATTAATTTTTATTTATTATTTTATTGTTAATAAATAAAAATTTATTTTTATTAAATATTATATAAATAAATATATGATTAAAAGATACTAATTTTATTAATATATATAATTTATTTAAGTTACACACAATGCAAATAAAAATGAAAATATATGAAAATATTCATAAATTTAAAAGTAATGACTTAATTAAAATTACACATAATACAAATATTAATTGAAAATACATAAAACTATTTATAAATTTAAATGTAAACTTACGCGACCTAATTAAAATTGCAGACAATACATATAATAATTAAACATACATGAACAAATACTAATAAATTTGAATGCAAACTTATGGAAAGCGTTCGCATGCCAACCTTTCTTTCACTCATTTTTCAAAATCAGTCAGATTATAATCACCTTTGGTCATTAATATTATGAGCATCTGCATCTTATTTGAAGTAAGTTGCAGTCGTTTAGCATTCTGATCAATCTTTCTCACTGTTTTTTCCAATCTTTTAGCTTTTAGAGGTGCTTCTATTTTCTCGGGTTGTTGCTTCAAACTTTGCTTCTTGACTGCTGCCATATGTTCCATACTTGAGCTAAATTCGCTGTTTTTTTCCGTAAAATTTTTCATATTTTTCAGTAGGATTTGAATTGAATTCCTCGTTTTGCACCTGTTTCCCTCTCTTCTTACTTGCTTTAATACCCGGGGGTGACTAGGAGGAGTTGGGTCATCTACATCAAAGTATGGTATCGCTGGACACAAGCCTAAGTAACCACCATTTCACTTGTTTTTTTTTTTTTTGCTTTGAACTTCCACTACTGTTATGAAATGGTTCGCAGTAACTGGTCTTCCATTTGAGCTCATTTCTGAGTATACGCCAAGCATCTTCATGGACGAAGCTTTTTTTCTCACTGTCATTTGAATATATCTTTTTTGCTGCATTAAGGACATCCTTGCTTGCTTTTCGATTGCGAATGTTTCGATTAGCCTCCTCATAACACCCAACAAACTTTTGCACAACCTTACATATCTTACTCCAACGATTTTTACATTGAGTAACACCCCTGCTCGTTGCACTTTCGGGCCTGTTCTCCATGTAGTAAGATGCGATTCGTTTCCAGAAAGCACTACTTGGTTGGTCAGTGTTGGTTAAGGAATCTTTACTTGTGTTTAGCCATGCACTGATTAGAAGTTCGTCTTCGGTCCAGCTCCACACCTTCCTCGTATCTTTATTTTTTGTATTGTCAGGAACATCATCATCTGCTAAATTGATAGGTGTGCAGTATTGTGGGGTGTCCATTGCTTCAGTGGCTTGCATCATGAATTGAGGAGATGATAAACTTCCGAATGCTTGAAAATTTGGAGGATAGAAGTTTGGAGGAATTTGATAGTATGGTGGAGGATTGAATGGTTGAAATGGGAGATTAGATGTAGGGAACAAAGGTTTATTTTCTAACATGTTCATAAAACTTGGAAATCAAAAAGAGTTTTGGGGATCTTGAGAGTTGGATGAATTTTGAGAGTTGGGATCCATTCGTAGGAAATTCAGGAGAATATATAGAGAGAAGAAAATGAAGAGAGAAGATTATAAGGAGATGGTGTAGATGATATGAAGTGAGTATGTAGTGTATTTATAGTAAACATTGCAATGGCTATATTCCTCAACGGCTATATTCCCAATAACTATATTCTCAACTGCTATATTCCCAACGACTATATTCCCAACGACTATATTTCCAATGGTTATATTCCTAATGACTATATTCCCAACGGCTAGTTTTTTTATTTATATATATGTTATCAATTCATATGCACATAATTCATTTACAGAATAGTTCAACCTTTCATACTTTAAAACACATTCATTTTCTCCCAAAATAATGTCAACCCCATCCTTATCTCTGTCCGATTCATCCGACGAAGACTTGAAACATATGTGTCAACTAGCAAAAATATATGCTCAATTGTATCAAGAGATTGAGCACATCAACAATGAAGATGATGGAAGCTGGCGGCAATGTCGACGGAGAACATACATAGAGAAGAATCGTGAAGATGGCCATACTCGATTATTCAATGATTATTTTTCTGATAACCCCGTGTATCAAACTTCTTATTTTTGTCGTAGGTTCCGAATGAGAAAACATGTCTTTCTTCGCATCGTAGATCACCTCTCCAATGAAATGGAGTTCTTTCAGCAATGACGTGATGCTACCAGAAGAGATAGATTGTCAGCATTACACAAATTCACAGTAGCAATACGTGTATTGGCATACGGCACAGCTACTGACATTCTTGATGAATATCTTCACCTTGGAGAGAGCACCACAAGGGCATGTTTGAAGCAATTTGTTGAAGGGATATTTTCTCTATTTGGTGAGGAATACCTACGACGATCAAATTCTGCTGATATACAATTATTATTATTTGTTGCAGAGACGCGTGATTTTCCAGGCATGCTAGGAAGTATTGATTGTATGCACTGGGAATGGAAAAATTGTCCGGTTGCTTGGAAAGGGCAATTCGAATATGGAGACCACGGCAAACCTAAAGTTATATTGGAAGTTGTAGCGTCACACGATCTATGGATTTGGCATGCATTTGGCACACCAAGTACATGCAATAACATTAATGTACTTGATCAATCTCCGGTATTTGATGACGTTTTGAATGGGAAAGCTCCAGAGGTTAATTTTTTTATCAACGGTCATCGATATAATATGGGATATTATCTTATTGATAGAATTTACCCTCCCTGGGCAACCTTTGTTCAATCAATTCATCTGGCTCAAGGTTATAAAGCACAATTATTTGCGCAATATCAAGAAGCGATTCGCAAAGATGTGGAGCGTGTCTTTTGCGTATTACAAGCTCGGTTTGCCTTTGTTAAAACTCCATCACTTGTTTGGAATATCAATTTACTAGGTAAAATAATGAAAGCATGCATCATATTGCATAATATGATTGTAGAAGATGAAAGAGATACTTACATGCATTATTACGATACATCTCAATATGATCAAGTGGAGACAAGTGCTAACTCGAATTGGTCATACAACACTACGAGACATGCAAATATGGAGAAATACCTATGGAATAGAATGCGGCTTCGAGCTAGGGAAACACACCATCAACTCAAAGCGGATTTAGTTGAACACATTTGGGATAAGTTTTGTCAATCGGCTATTTAATTTATTTGAAAAATATATTGTAATATTATTTTATTTTTTTATTAAATTTGAGTTTGAACTTTAATTATTATGCAAGTGTGAAATTATTATTTTTTTATTTATTTTATTTATTTATGCTAAATAATTGTTTTTTTTTTTTTTTTTTCAGACAATTGGAGATAAATCCCCAATTCCACAAATTCATTTAAGATTAGTCCCTGTTATTAATATTTTACACTGCACTCCCCTCTTTTCTATTTCACTTCGTTCTTACTTCCCTATCTTAATTTCTTCTTCATCTTCCAAAATCGTTCATTATTTTTCGCGCAAAATCGGCACAAAAAATTTGGCAAGCAGAACTGCTGAAGATCGCAAAATCAACACTGATGTCCGGTCGGCCAATGTCCAGCGCTCTCAAAGTCCTATTTCTCTTTCCATATCTTCCGCTATTCTTCCGATTGTCCTCCATCAAGCGAAGATCGACCAAGGGTTTAGAGAATTGGTGATTCTCTCTCTGAAGCCTCTGCAATTATTCATGGCGCCGTGATGTGTTCTCTTTCCCCTTGTCTTGCTTTATATCGATGATTAAATTGACTAAAAGGTTCTTCGATTGCGAATATTTTTGTCTTTTGAATCTCATCAGAAAGTTAGAATCGAACCGGGAAGAATCGAAAATTGATATGGGCTGGGCAATATCAAAGCACAAACGTGGAAGTTGAATTGACTTTTCAATTCCAATTTAGGCTTTGTTTGTTTGGTTTCTTTGATTCCAGATTACTTGTTTCCGGATGTTTGCTTGATTTAATTTCTATGATTCCTACTCTCATAATTTCAATGATGCAGTGTGTTTAATTATGTTTTAGTTTTAATATTTTGGTTTGATTTCAGCTTCGGTTCGTTGTCATTATTTGGGTTTATTCGAATTTCACTTCTGCTAATTTAATTTGTATTTTTGTTTACAAGGTTTAATTTGAAGAATCCATCAAATCGGGTATAAATTCACAACACCCCTAATTTTTAGTTGCTTATATTTATTGTACACTAATTCCCTAATCTATGGAGTTTTCTTTACTGACTTTGTTGGAATTTTTTATATAATTGATGCTTGTAGTGGCGTTTCCTCATTCTTGTTGATTTGCAATGTTGCGTTTGGTGAAGAATCACAGTGCAAAGTGGTTACAGAGAGGTGCGATTTATTTTCTAATTTTGTGTGGTGCATGTTATAGCTGATTATTTGTTTGTTTGTGTTTTATTTTTATAAATGTAATTGGACTTTGTTGATGTTTTGTAAGGTGAAAAGGATTTGTGATGATGTTATGTTTGATTATTATGTTTTTCATGTTGATAAAATTCAAATTGAGTTGGTTTTTTTTTTTTTTTTTTTTTTTTTTTAAAGTTTAGTTGTTACAAAATTAAATTTGGTTGGACCAATGATTTCTTTTCCTTTGAAACATTTTGATGAGTTGTTGTTGGCTATGGACAAGATGGATCTGTAAGTCATCTCTCTTCTACTTTTTTATTTTCATATCTACTTAATTATTTAGTGTTGTATTATTTGGGATATATGAAGTTTAGATATTTGAAGTTGTGCTTAAATTTTATGAAGTTGAGATATTTGAAATTCAATGAACACATACTCTATTTATGTATGTATATAGGTGTAATTAGTGAAGTTTCATCAAGATCCTTTGTTGATATTTATATGCTTTTTATTTGGTTTGATATACATATCCATTTTTTAAGAAATTCTACAATAATCGGTCATTTTTTGTTTTTTGTTACTTTTTCTTATTTGGAAAAAATTGTTTTGGATTGTTCGCTCGTTCATTTTCTGTGTACATTATAATAGTTGTTGATTTTTCTCAGGTTTGCAGTATATAAAAGTTTTTTTTTAAGGACTGGATCTAATTTAGGACAAGATAGATCTTGAATTTTTTTTTGTTTGTCTACATTACAGTAGTTGTTGATTTTTCTTAGGTTTGTAGTATATAAAAGTTTTTTTTGAAGAACTGGATCTAATTTAGGACAAGACAGAACTTGCATTTGTTTTTTTATATTCGAAGACAATTGAAGGATATAGATCGACAAGGGCATCCACAATCATCGTCATCATTATCCAAGACTAAGGATTTGGATGATCCACTTCACTCAATTGGATTTGAGGTCGAAGATTTATGCCTAGGAAAGTATCCGGCCATGTCCTCGTCACTTTCAAAGTGTGTCATGTAAATATATAATAACAATATGCAAAACTGTATTGAAATGTTTTTATAAATTCATTGCACCGTGGTACATGAATAGAAAGTACGGGCATGAGTATGTCTATCTGGAGTATGTAACATGTGTATATGGGTATGTGAAAAATGAAATAAGACATAAAGATAATGTATGTAATTACGTGAATAAAGTACTCAGGTATTAACACTTAGTTTATGAGTATATATATACATTACAAAGGTATTATTTGTAAAGTAGCAAGTATATTTGAATTTAGTTTAAGTTCCTACAGCGATGAAGAATTCTTTAAATGAAGTAGCAGTAGGTACACAACTAGTATGATTTCCTACACCAAGCCAGGTTTGACAACAATCATATAACAATCATATACTCTAACAACCAATATATTTAACTTAGTCACTTATGACTTGTTTAGACATCTAGAAATGGAGGTTGGACTACGATTGTACATATATCATACAACTTAACTACGTCATTTCTGACTTGTTTAACCATCCATAGTAAATATGTATTGTTTACGTTTTTATACAATTAGAAGTGTTGTGGGAACACTACCATGATGAATTCATCTTTGGTCCAACATCAAATGAATATTTCAAACTGAAAACGACCAATTCCCTAACCACATGTTACTAGGGCATATATATTCATTATGGAAGCATATAAGACTATTCGTATAGGTACGTAAGATCTGTTCCAGGGTATGTATATTTTGTATGCAGGTATGTAAGTATATGAGTTGGGTACAAATACCGACCAACGAGGTATAAATAATGGTTGCTTAGGTATTATTAGTGTAGTACCAGGTATCCTCGAATTTAGTTGATTTCAATCAATCTCACACAGATGAACTGATTCACGAACTCGGTAAGAGCACTTCCTCTGTTAACTTAGGTGGACCGAATATTTTGTGTGTGCTATAGTATGGATTACTATGTAATATGTTTAAATAACAATCAATCCGTGAGAGAAATGATGTATGATAGTGTTTCCCCATTGGATTCTTGTAAAATGTACTATTTGCATGTTAATACCCTCCAGAAATTGGTAA